CACAGACGATGGCAGGATATGTGCAAATAAATGCAGTTAAAGGCGATGTTAAGTAATCGAACAAATGTACATATAACGTGATCAAAAACCACAGCACTCACTTCAAAAACAAAGCAGAAAAACATTTGGGAATTGCTGTCAAATTACGTTCCAAACGATCAGTAAACAGACGACAAAAACGATTACTGATATCTTCTTCAAGAGATGGGAATAAATCCATTCAAGCACCAAAAGAACACATAAAAGCAATAGCTGTTAGAACGCTTGTTCAAATGAACACATTTGTGGAGAAATAAATAAAATCGCGTTTTACAATCCGTTTTTTTTCTCAGATCCATCATATTGCGTTTTACAATCCATAAGCGGTTGAGTGAACGAATAAACAAATGTAAAAATTACCAGTCATTTCAAACAAATGCGTTCATAAACTTCGATAATAATAATAATAATAATAATAATAAAATTCTCACACAAGTAATTAAAACCTTCAACGTTAAACGATAAAATTCACACAAATACATGCGAAACATTAAGGAAATCGTTACGTTACAACTGTAATTATTGAACAAACAAACACATCAATGAGTAAACGTTAAATAAATATATTATCAAACGAACATCAACGTTTAAGTAAACGATGAAATGAGACGATAAAACCAAACGAAAGCAAAACGACAGATTCAAACCCTTATAAGAGGAACTAATGAAATCAGCGATATACAATAATGATCCTAAACAAGCGAATTAACGCTAGCTTCACGCCTTAGTTCATAAATCTTAATCAATAACTTTTTTTTCGCAACAGAACAAATCAAATCCACACAATTATTTCAGGTTATATTTAGGCAAATAAAATTTCTGATTTCATTTATTCACTATTCACATTATCAAAAACAATTTAGAAAGCATGTTGTTCTCTTTTAAACGTAACGAATGCCCGAATCATACGAAACNTGTTAGCGCTCGGTTCACGTATTTCAATCGTTTACGATTCAGTTTTGTGCCCTTTCGCATCGATGTCGAAAAAGTACCCGATGAGATGCTTGACGAATTAGCCGATGCCGTTCCAGAATCTTGTAAATTTGCGCATTTTGAAGTGCTGCCTCCAACGAAACGTACATATTCACTGATGTTCGTCAAACATCCCAAACTGATACGTTTCGGCGGCGCATGTCCAGTGCTGCCGGACGACGACGACGACGATGCTGACTTATCAAGTCCGAATGCAGTCTGCGTATGCACCAGGGCAGGTGCAGATGTTTTGTTGGCATTATTCGATGCACCCATACCACCAACTACTACTCCAGACGCCAATAACTCTAACTTTCCCAGCGATTTACTCAAAAGATGTCTGGTGACATGAGACTCTCGACGTTCACCAATTGCACGTCGTTCACCAGCCACACGACGCGACGATACCTTTGACCCAACAGCACCAACAGCATTATTCAGTGCAGTCGAAGGCTTCCTGGATGCACCTCCTCCTTTTCGATGCTGATTCCATGGTGAACACGACGCTGCGGCCGCCTCAGAAAGCGCTGCAAGCGTGTTGTTGTTTGTATGAGATGGTGTGAGACATTGTCAATCAAATCTATAGCATCGTAACACATCGCCCGCAAAGATTCACTATGTGCCAAACTAACATCACAANGCATCAATCAGCAGTCATCGTGCACCTTGTGAACATCAATCGAAACTCAAACAAATTTCATAGTAACGAAATGCGATGCACAATCAAGTGAGCATCATCTATAAATTTGGGTAAGGAACAAAAAATAACACTAGCCATATGCAGGAGAAAGCAACATAAATTAATGCAGCAATGTGAAATAAACCAATACCGAATACGAGGGTAAATTAGCACAATATGAGGAAACGAAGTCGAGAAATGCAGAAAAGCATAATGAGTACATATTAACGGATAGATGATAAACACCACTAAAATACTCATCCTTATCGCCAATCTGCTCAAATTACCGTTCTTAGAACAGGGCCAAAGACAACACACGTATGAATTTTATTTTTGTGTCATCGTTATCAGTTCTGCGCTACAAGGGAAGTGTTCAAAGCGAAAACTCAATGTAATCAATCAAACAAATAAATACCTTCAAATTTTTTCGCTCGAGCTGACACACTAACAACTGAACTGGCTTGAGGTGAAAGTGTTTCACGCTTCTCCGACTTCCTCAGACCGTGCGAGACGGGTGGAGCCGTCGGTTTCGCGAATTCAACCAAAGGAGAATGCTTCTCCTAAAGATGTCAATGATTTGAAAATATCATTAACAACTATACCACCTGAATAAGCAGTAAGCAGTAAGGTGCAATTTTATGTATTTATGAAACTCGAATTTTTCACACTGATATTTGCTCTTGACGCTTGTTGAAAGTGTCCANTTCGCGTTGATAACACCAAAAATTATTTTCACAAAAAAATTATCACATTCTTTATCACTATTTGTGCATGGCAGCCAACAATATCGCTCAGGATTCCTTGAGTTTTCATTGTCGTTAATTGCTTGTAATTCATCGTCTGTTCACTGAGAGAATTAAGCTTAGATATACGTGTAGTGCATGCAAATGAAGCTACTCTCGTCGGTGCAAACATCCTATAACATCACTAGATGTCAACTGATATAAGTGCTTGTGAGACTGATAAAAAACAATCAAATTCAGTGCATACCTTCAAATTTTCCTCATTCCCCGCAGTTGCATGAACAACGCCAAGTTGTGCGAACTGACTGACACGCTGCTGGACAATACCACGATTGTTACGTTTGATGTAAGCAACGCTTGGTCTTGCATCGAACGGAATATGTGCTGGTCCATATTTGATATCCTAGAAAAATTGCAAATACACCTGATTGGTGACCATCTAGAACACCAAATAAACCTCTCTATGCCTTCGTCAAAAAATAAAGAAGATGAGAATATCACCGAAAATATGCACGACGAAATTAATCGACTGAATCGTCATGAAACCATTTCAAAATCTACACGGATTTCAACGAATCTTCACCTTATCAGTATGTGCGCCTAAGATTTGCTTCTTGATATCCTCCGAGTGCGAGAATTCCTTTTCATCGAGTGACAGCTTTGTCATACCATCGAATCGCGTTCGTCGATACAATCGCATTGAATCATTCTAAAAAACGTCCCCAAAAAATGTCTTCATTACACACGACAATGAAACATAAACTTGTTCGTACACCAAATGAATATCCAAAGCAACATATCAAATGTCAAAACGAACACAGAAATACAATATACTAATACTTACATTCATCTGATCCGTTGAAGAACTGCCACTTTTGGTTGTCGTTGTGGTTGTTGTTGTTGTTCTATACTGTGAACTAGCTGCTTGACTCTTCGTATGTCTCGTCAACGGCATCGGCATTCCGGCAACAGATGCTGAATCTGTTGAAGGCACAGTGGCAGCACTAGCACTAGTACCTGCAGATGTCAACACGGGTATGTTTTCCTTGGATTGATTAGTACTTGTTACAATTGCCGCAGAATGCCTATGCTTCTCTTTCGTGGCATTACCACTCTGATTGCTCGATTTGGCAGTTTTTGATGATTGTAAACTGGTAGATGATGTTGGCTTTTTGGATGACGGTGAGCGTCGGGAGATGTTACGTTCACCGGTGGCCGAAACTTGTGCATTACTCGTTGACCGTCGTTTCAGTAATTT